AGTTTGGCTCAATGGATAGAGCATCAGCCTCTGGGCTGAAGGGTCCTGGGTTTGATTCTGGTCAAGGACATATGCCCAGGTTGCGGGCTCGATCCCCAGTAGGGGCATGCAAGAGACAGCTGATCAATGATTCTCTCTCATTATTGATGTTTCTCTCTCTCTCTCCCTTCCTCTCTGAAATCAATAAAAATATATTTTCAAAAAAGGACCATCACCCTTCAAATACAAATAAGACTTTTCAGCCAGGCTAATTCCTCAGTTTTGCTGTTTGTTTGCTTTCTTGTGAGTATGCATAGTCAAGGCAGGTCAGATACTTGCCATTTTGGGTCAGAACAAATACATTGAGAGCTTCAAAATCAGGTCTAAAGTTTCAGACAAGCTAAGTTAGATTATGTTGATAAACAAAACATTTACTATTTCCTTATTGGGGTCATTCCTCAAACTATGCATATCAGTTTGACAATGTTGTCTAAAATATTTTAGGATTTTTTTTCAGCCAGTGTCAAAAGAGAGATTCTAAAATAGTTGCTATATACCTGCTGATATATATAATTTATTTTTTCTGAAAATACTCAATTAAATTCTGATTAGAATCATTCCCTAAAACTTTTATCCTGGTTCTAGATTATCAGAGCAGACTAAAAAATAAAGTGAAGCCAAAACTGGTTTGGCTCAGTAGTAGAGCGTCGGTCTGCGGATTGAAAGATCCCGGGTTCGATTCCGGTCAAGGGCGTGTACCTTGGTTGCGAGCACATCCCCGGTAGGGGGTGTGCAGAAGGCAGCTGGTCGATGTTTCTCTCATCGACGTTTCTAGCTCTCTATCTCTCTCTCTTCATCTCTGTAAAAAAAATAAAAAATAAAAAAATAGCCGGGACCGGTTTGGCTCAATGGATAGAGCGTCAACTTGGGGACTGAAGGGCCCCGGGTTCGATTCCTGTCAAGGGCATGTACCTTGGTTGCGGGCATATCCCCAGTAGGTGGTGTGCAAGAGGCAGCTGATAGATGACTCTCTCTCATTGATGTTTCAAACTCTCTATCTCTCTCCCTTCCTCTCTGTACAAAAATCAATAAAATATATCTTTTTAAAAATCAATAAAATATATATAAAAAAATAAAATAAAGTGAAGATCCTCCAGCTTAGAAACTCCAAAGGTACCAGTTGTGTACATATTCAGACCTTCAGAAAGGAAAAAAGTTTGTTGCTCTTAAAACATCACGTGGCCATTCCATTTATTTACATATTGTCTGTGGCTGCTTTCACACAACAGAATAGTTGTGACAGACTATAGGGCCTACAAAGGCTAAAATATTTAGTATCTGGCTCCTTACAAGTCTGCCAACTCATGCACTAGTTAAAATATTTAGTACCTGGCTCTTTATAAGTCTGCCAACCTCTGCACTGGTTCATCCCACTTACTTTTCAGATAAGCGATCTTAGGCCTGGATGAAAAACAAAGTGACTGTAGCACTCTGCAGTGTCCCCTTTATTACAAATACTCTTGTCTTTGCCTGTCCCCTCTACTTGATGGGGCACAATCTTTTTATTTCCCATACTGATTTTCATTTCAGTGCTTAAAATAAAGGTTTGTTGGTTTACATTAACTTGCCCAGGGTAACAGGGATAACTACCAGTGGAACCTGGGTTAAAACCCACATGCACCAGTGGAAAGGACAGTCAACTAGCCATGTAACTTTGTCTGAGATAATTATCTTATCTGAGCCTCTCAGTTTATTCATCTTCCCACAATTTTTCATCTTTTATGAAAAGTTGTGGGAGATAACGTATGTATGGAATAGGCCCTCCATACGTATTGATTTCCTTTGCCACTCCTTTCTTTCACAAAACTGTTAGGGTTCCCTGAGGAAATTAAACCAAATACTAGTCGTTACAGAGCATTAGCTAAGGATGAGACCCTGGGCTCAGCCCTTTGGTAGATACAAAGGTTGTTACCCAATTAGTGGCAATGATGAGCAATGATGTGGCTGCCCCCTCCGCACTTCACCCTAGGCTGGCAACAGAGGAAGGGGAGTGTCTTTCCAGTTCCTGTTTCTCTTCAAGAAGGAGCCAATCCCACCGCCCACTGCTTCTCTTTGGACTCCTTCAACGTCTAAACAGCTGACCTTCCCTCCCCAGCCAGCCTCCTTGCCTCCCTATCACCTGTCTCGCCTTGCCCCACTTCCCTCTGACTTCCTCACCTTTGGAGCACAGCTGATTAAATGAGCCCCATTGCCCTGGCTCCCTGCCTTCTTGAGGTGATGCTCAAAGAAGGGACCCATTAGTGAGGGAGAGGGGTGAACGAATAAGTCAGTAAAAGTGAGGAAGAGAGCAAGGTATATTCGTTTTTATACTTAAAGTAAAATAATTTACAGGGATAAGTACATACGTTTGCATAAACCACCATAATGAGTCCCAACCAAGGTTACTAGAACAAAACTGGGTTTTCAGAGAATTGCTTCATGAATTCAAAACAGAATGGCTTCACCTAGCTGTCAGTGAAATGCAGGATAACTGATCTCCCTCTAACCAGATCACAGGTCTTAGCCAGCCAAACACAGACATAATGATACAAGCAAAGGCAACTCCCTCTTTCTCTGGCTATAAGAAACCTGGGGTGAAACTCCAAATCCAGACAGTTTTAAAAACCATTTCAAAACAGGTGTAATTCTTGAGTTATTTGGACTAATTTTAGCAGTCAGTAGTTAGTGCTGTGAAGTCTAAACTATAGGTTTTTAATTTTAAAGTATATGTTTATACATTTTATTGATTTTTTACAGAGAGGAAGGGAGAGAGATAGAGAGCTAGAAACGTCGATGAGAGAGAAACATCAACCAGCTGCCTCTTGCACACCCCCTACCGGGGATGTGCCTGCAATCAAGGTACATGCCCTTGACCAGAATCGAACCCGGGACCCTTCAGTCTGCAGACCGACACTCTACCACTGAGCCAAACCGGTTTCGACAAGGTTTTTAATTTTAAATAAAATAGATTTGCTTTCAAATAAAGCCAGTAATTCAACCCGCTTTTAAAAACATAATTCTATTCATTAAAAATCATACTGGATCTGTTTTGACAAATAGCTAAGAACAGAGGTGTAATAGCACCACTCTCACTGGTTGGCAAACAGCTGCTATGAAGCCCTTGAAAAGTCTTGGAAGGAGGTTGCAAATTCTCTTTTGAAATCATGATTATGCTTCACATCATTGGGAAGCTTTGCTTTGGAGGTGCTCTGAGAAAATGACAAGTTCAGAAATTGCAAGTTTAAATAAAAACAGAATTACTATGAAGGACTGGGAGGTAAGACTGAGGCCTTTTGAAAACTGCTGGCTGGTGTGACCAGCAGTAAATACTTTCCTCAGAGGAGAGGACCAGGCTCCGTGGCCACCCCCCGCGTAGCCTTCCCTGAGAACTGCAGTAGAGGTAGTCCCTGCTTCTTCATAGTGAGTGAGGGGACACTCTGAGCCTCCACTCCTTTTTTTAAGTCTCTGGCTTCATGAAGCAGTAGTCTTGTGGGAAATAGGGCCAAATGGGAGGTTAGGATACTGGATCCCAGTTCTGATACCTGCCAGCTGTATGACCTTGAGGAGAACATTTCTCCTTTTGGAGCAATCTTCAAAAACTTCAAATAAGGCAACTGGAGCTCAGTTGATCAGATCAGACAAATAACCATTGTGCTGGGCCTACCAGAACTGAATTCACGTGGACACAAGATATTATCAATGACTATTAGAACTAAACAGGACCTTTTGGTGATGAGCTGGAGTTTTTCATTTTCCCCTAAATAGGTGAAAGGACCTTCCCGAGGTCACATAATTAGAGGCAGAATCATTACTTACTAACCACACTGATTAGAACCCAGGTTTCCTAACTCTCAGTTCCCTGTCCCGACCAGAACACCACATTATCTCAAAAATCCTAAAGGAAGTACATTTTATCTCCTTTGCATCACGTGTCTCCCAGACATGTTGCTGAGTTTTGTCTCCATCCTGCCCACTCATCAAAACTGCACTGGATTAAGTAGCTAAGTCCTTCCACTCTTTGCACGCAAAATTCTGCTCACACCAGTGGCTTCACTGAGACCTGACGCAGGCAGGCTCTGAGCCAACCTTTGCCCAAACTCTAGCTTTAGGAGCAGGAGATAAATGGAGTCTGTATTCCCTAGGGTGCCCTCACTTTGGAGTCTCAAGGAATAAATAACTTTGAGATGAATTTTCAGAAATCACCTCCCCAATTTAATCTTCCAGGTTATTGAATCATGCGATGGATTTAGCAGGAAGGCCCCTCATAGGGCCAGAGGATTTCTTGGAAAGGAACAGGAGAAAGCCCCAGGGTTGGCACACCTGGTAGCTGGTCCCCAGTTAGCACGGAGAGAGGGGTCTGCACCTAGCACTGGCTTGTCAGTGGCTAAACGGAGCTTTCATCTTCACTATTTTAAAAACAAAACAAAGCCAAAACAGTCTTCCCCACTTCTTTCTTGGACCTTATCCAAGACCTCATTCCCTCCAAGTCTGGAATGTGAACAAATAAGATTAAATGAAAGTGAGGGTACTAGATAAACCCTAAACACCATGTACATGGAAGCGATTATCATTTTTCCCTGCCTGATATCTCCTTGGACATTTTCCAAAGCCCGGCTCAAATATAATTTCCAAAGATCCAGCCAGACCAACCTGGTTCAAATTCTGACTCCACCCCCTATTTGCTGTGCGGCATTGAACAAGTGGTTTGATTTCATTAGGCCTCAGTTCCTTCTCCTGCCAAGGGTCATAATAATAACCATTTTATAGGATGATTTGGTGGGGGTGAACCAAGGTCACTCTAGACAAAGACCCCAAAATAGTGCATGGCAGAGAACAGGCCTCTAAAAGTTGAATGAATAGCAAGGGAACCAGAGCACCTGTCTCTTGAAGTCTGACCCAGAACTTTCCATTCTTTAGTCCCAGTCTTTGCTTATCCGTTTGCCCCAAAGTGGCTAGAAAAACCTGAGCTACCCTGTTCTTACCTTGCTGAAGTCCTCCAGGGCCACGACCTTGGCCACTGGCCTCCTGCTGAGCTGCTCCTTCACCCAGAGCTCAAGCTTCTTGTTCCACTTCATGGTGAACACATAGGAGGCATAGGCCAGCAGCAGCATCACGCTCTCCCACCAGACAATGAGGCTGTCCAGGAAGAAGAGAATGAGCATCATCAGGTCAAGGATGTAGAAGGAGACGTCCCGGAACAAGGGCCACCAAGTGAGGTGGAGGATCTCCCGGGAGAACAGGCTACAGGTGCCGATGACAAAGAGGATGTTGAACACAGCAGAGCCCACAATTGTGCCGATGCCCACATTGCTGTAGGAGATGAAGACGCCCATGAGGGAGGTGAAGAGCTCGGGGGCAGAGCCTCCAGCAGCCATGAACGTGGCACCTGCCACATCCTCAGAGATTTGCAGCTTGTCTGTGATGACACCCAGGGCTGGGACAAAGTACTCATCGCACACGACGGCCAAGGCCACAAACACGTACATCATGCCAAAGATGTGCAGGACTACCCAGCCCTGCCTCCGCTCCTCCACGCTGAACAGGTCTGGGGGGTACTCGCCATGAGGGTTGTTTCGCCAGCTGGAGTGCGGTGTTGAGGGGCTGGGACTGGGTGCCTCTGAGAGCGGGGCCATTGTCAGTCTGGGGGAGGGGGTAGTGGGCAAGGCTGGAGTTGGCTCCACATAGTGACGAACCTGGGTGGCCGGATTTGCCCTGATGCTAAGGGTTGCTGAGGTGCTTGGTGCTGTCGGAGGTTTCTTCACCAGCCCCCAGAAGGTGGCTAAGGATAATTCAGCCGTTGGTGTTCTGGTCGAGGGATTCCTAACCCTAGTGCTAATTGTCCCATCAGAGGCGGCTGCAGTGTGCTCTAAAACTATTCCCTGGGAAGTCGTCAGGTTGTGCTTTCCCACTAACCTCCGAGGATTGGTTGAGCTGTTATTGTCCACTCTTCTGGGGGTAGTCAGGGTGTTCTTATCCACTGTTGTCCTAGGAGAAGACAAGATGTTTGTTTCTGTGTAATTGATCAATGAAGCTGGAGTATTGTCAGTTATGCTCTTAGCAGTTGGGGTGGTTTCCTCCACTATTCCTTTGGAGGGGCTGGTCTCCAATATTTTGTAGGTTGCCACAGTTTCAGCGTCTTTCGCTGTTGTTCTGGGCGTGATCCCATGGCTTCTTGTCATTGTCAGGAATGTGGATGGGGCCTGTGGGGATTGGATGTATTTTTTTACCTTTCCCCTTGCTTGAGTTAGGTGAAACTGCTTCATTTCTCCCTTGGGTGTTGTTGGGGAATAAGTCTTTATGGTTGATATGCTTGAAGTTGGGGTGTAGTGAGTCAGTACTCCATTTGGTCTGGTTGGGGTGTTTTCCTTCATTCTTTCTGTGCGTGCTGCAGTTGGGCTGTAGTTATTCTTAGGCACTGTTGGAGAGATGTTGGCTATTCTTCTGGGTGTATCGAGAGTGTTCTCCATCGTTCTGCCAGGTGTTGATTCCTTCTTGCCCACTGTGCCGTGGGGTTCCAGGGTCTCACCCTCCAGTTCAGAACTAGCCCTTGGAGGTTCACTGCTCACTGTCATCATCTCACTGTTGGGAAGGTCCCGGCTGGCCAGTTTGACAGGGTATTGGGAGGGGAGGCCCAGAGGGCTCCCCAGGTGCTGGTAAGTGGAACCAATGATCAACATTCCCAGAAGGAAGAGGAAGCGACTCCACTGAAGCCGTTTTGGCAGGAGTAACCGCCTTTCCTGCGTCCCCATCCTGATAAGTTTCCCCATGATGGCTTTTAGTCCAGGTTACAGAAGGCCTCTCATTCTCTTCACTGAAAGAGGAGGGTTGTTCTGGGATCCAGGTTGGTGATCAGGGAAGATTTCTCCATGAAGCCCAAGTAAGAGATATCCACAAACCTAGGGGGGGGGGGGGGGGATAAAATAAAAGAGATTATCTGTCCCTAGGAGGAAGGTTGGGGTCCACCAAACCCTCATCTGGAAAGAGTAACAATTCGTTCAGGGGCCATTGTGGTAGAAGATAGTTGTCTCTGTTAGGACAAAACTATCTCTGCCCCCTGCTCAGGGGGCAATGCCTGCTCAGGGGGGCAATGCCTGCTCAGGGGGCAATGCCTGCTCAGGGGGGCAATGCCTGCTCAGGGGGCAATACCTGCTCAGGGGGGCAATGCCTGCTCAGGGGGCAATGCCTGCTCAGGGGAAAGAGTGTCTAGAGGTCCTCAGTGTCATGGAGGCATGCCAGCAGCCTGAGCTGGTTCCTGAGCTCAGTCCACCCAAGATCCGCCAGTATTCCTTAGTTCTGAATTGCTGGGAGCTCATATGTGGTTCGTGCCCCAGGCCACAGATCTCACCTTATTAAAGGCACAAGGAAAGTAAAAAGACATGATTTTAAGCTCTGGACAAAAAGAGGCAGCAACAGAAGACAGTGACAACTCTGCATGTGTGTGTTGTTGTTTTTTCAGACTTACTTAAAACAATTCCACCATATCATCCAGAGAGGATAAAGCTTAAAAGTTAATGTCATGTTCCTTTCAACAATAAAGATTTTTAAAAAAAAGAAAAGAATCCGAAACCGGTTTGGCTCAGTGGTAGACCATCGGTCTGCGGACTGAAAGGTCCCAGGTTCGATTCTGGTCAGGGGCATGTACGTTGGTTGCGGGCACATCCCCGGTAGGGGGTGTGCAAGAGGCAGCTGGTCGATGTTTCTCTCTCATCGATGTTTCTAGCTCTCTAGCTCTCTCCCTTCCTCTCTGTAAAAAATCAATAAAATATATTTTTTTAAAAAGAAAAGAAAATGTCCTGAAGGTTCTCAGACAGTGTAATGTGGATGTGGTACGAGGAATATTTAGAGTGAAGTCAAAGGCCTGGATTCCCAGCTCTGCTGCTGGGAATCTGTGTCACCCTGGATAAGCTGAGCCTCCATAATATATATATATATATATATATATATATATATATATATATATGGCAAAAATTATCTCTGGAAGGACATCTAGAGAAAGGAAACTTAAAGGCTAGGGGTCAGTATAACTCACTGTTCAGTTTAACTAGTTAACTTTTTATTATATAGGTAGTATCTTTTACATTTAAATTATTTAATTCAATATAATATAAATGACAATAGTCATAATAATATCTTTCTATGTAAATAGTAACAATACCTATGCCATAGGAATGTTGGGAGAGTAAACATAAGATCAGTGAAAAGCACTATATACTGGTAGAATCAAATGCTACATGAGGGCATTTTACATAAGGACACAGGAGGAAAGAACATGAAAGGCCCTCAGAGAATCCTCAATTTATCCAGGGCACTGAGACCCAAGTAAATATTTGTTAAATCGCCAATCAATGTCCTCAGATTATTACAAAATAGTACATAGAAGTTATCAGTTTTGCATAGGAGGTAAGGGAGATGAGTGGTTAAAGGTGGAAGACATTACTAACACAGCTTAGTGTAACTCTCCATTTGAGACACGAAGAAACAGGTCCAGCCCTGACCTGGTTGCTCAGTTGATTAGATGTGAGTTCCATCCCTGATTAGAACACATAAAAGAATCAATCAAAAAATGCATAAATAAGTTGAACAACAAATCAATGTTTCTTTCTCTCAAATCAATTTTAAAAAAAGAAGAAGAAAGAAACTGAGATCCAGAGAGATGTAACTTGCTTAGTGTCATATAGCTAGTGAGTAGCAGTGCAAAGGAGGCTTCTAGTACCCCAATCTTTCCAGCAGATCACATTAGAGATGCAAATGCAATTGTCTTAAAAAGCACAAGAGGAGTAAACAAAGAATTACAAAATTAGTGATTCTCCATCTTTGTTCTTCATTCCTATAATTATCTTTCCATCATCTCCCTGTCAGCTCTGTCCCTTACCATAAATTCAACGCTTTGAATCTCCTAAAGAAACTTTGGAGGGTCTCTCTCTTTCTGGTATGCCTGTGTTATATAACAGAGTTGAGCCGGCACTGTACTATAATACTTAATCACCTACCTTCAAACCTGGACATCTGGGTGTCTTCTCACTTCTGGAAACTTGTCAAAATCCAGGATCTCAGAGAGTGGATCTGAAGCTAGACAGCAGGGACTACCTCATTCTCTTGCCTCCTGCTCTCTTATGGAATCCTAGCTGAAGACAGGTCGGGAGTGAAGGGCATCTCAGGGGAAGAATATCCAATCCCCACTAATACCCCTTCTAAGAAGCTTATCAGGGCCTTATACAAGTTCTGGGTCTCGGTGCCCCTGCCAGAGACTAAGAGGGTGCCCCTTCCATCAGGGACCCAGATGGGCTTGCTTGGGCCTCTGCAGTGGAGGGGGAAGCTAGGGAACTTCTCAAACTTGCTTCTAACTTCTGGGAATGAGAGGTGGTCTGGGATTTCTAAGCTTATGGGAAGAAAAGATTCAGAATTCCATCTGTAAGAACCAAGAGAAAGTACCTGGGGCTAAAGAGATCAAAAGACCTAAGTTAGCAACATGCTCCATTTGCTACTGTGTGATTCTAAATGTAATCTAAATGTAAATGTGGACGTAATAATAGCCACTCACCTATTTGTAGAATAGATGTGAGAATCATAATTTTAAATGAGGGAAATATCGGCTCAATTTTGCTGTGGACCTAAAACTGCTCTAAGAAATAATCTATTTTGTTAAAGATATATTTTTATTGATTTGAGAGAGAGAGAGAGAGAAACATCAATGTGAGAAATATGGATCAGTTGTCTCCCGAACACACCCCACTTAGGGATGGAACACACAACCTGGTTATGTGCCCTGACTGGGAATCGAACTGGCAACCTGTCTGTGCATGGGACAACAGTCAGTCAACTGAGCCACACCAGCCAGGGTAGGAATAGTCTATTTTTTAAAAATGAAGAAATGCGAGGAAGATACTTTATAAAGCTTTAAAGCATTTCACACATGCAAAATATTTTATTAGGCCTAAGGGCAATCTTGGGAAAGAGGGCACTGGCAGATCTCCCTTGAGCAGACCCAAACATCCCAAGATACCTCAGGAGCTGTGTCTCTCCAACTCAGGGCTGGGGGTGAATGAAGTGGGAGTGAAGTGAGACAATTGGGTTGTCTCATGATCCTACCCATGAACCTGGCAGCCTTTTCAATCATTCAACTAACCCTGCCTAATACTTATTGGTTACTCCTTTCTCCCCACCCGGTTTCCCCCAAGGTACATGCAGAGCATGCCGCTTTGATTACTTTCACTGGAAAGAGCAGGTAATCCCTGAGAGCCTCCTACTGCCCTACTCCCCCCGACCCCCACCCCCACTGGCCTGTGACAGTGAGGAGGTTCCCAGCTTCCTGTGCAGAGCACACAGAGGTGCCACCCCCTGTGGAAGAGCTCTCTTCATCTCTGGGTGTCCGAAGTCACTCTGAATGTTGGAGTGACTGGGTGGAGGGGCTGACCTCTGCTTGTTACATCCTTGCCCTTAGACTCCTGCAGGAAGCACCAGATCCAGTTACTTTCCTTCAAACACAAACTATGTAACACCTTCTCAGTCTGGTCCAGAAAGATGGAAAAAGGAACCCAATTCAGAAGGTGGAATAATTTAGTACTAAAAACAAATGAGCTATCAAGCCATGAGCAGACATGCAGGATACTTAAATGCATATTACTAAGCAAAAAATGCCAGTGTCAAAAGGTTACACACTGTATGATTCCAACTATATGACATTCTGAAAAAGGCAAAACTATGGAGACAATAAAAAGATCTGTGGTTGTCAGAAGTCAGGGGAGAGGGAGGGATAAAAAGGCAGAGTTCAAAGGATTTTTAGAGCAGTGAAACTATTCTGGCATAATACTATTTATGATGACTATGTAATCATAAATTTGTCAAATCTGTAGAATGTATAGCACCAAGTGTGAACCCTAAGGGACTTTGGATTATAATGTGTCAAGGTAGGTTCATGGATTTATAACAAGTATATCACTCTGGTATGAGATGTTGATAGTGCTGAAGGCTGTATGTGTGTGTGTGTGTGTGTGTGTGTGTGTGTGTGTGTGTGTGTGTATTATATGGAACTCTCTGTACTTTCCACTCCATTTTGATGTGAACCTAAAAATGCTCTAAAAATAAAGTTTATTAGTTAAAAAATAAGCCCTTGTCTTTTAGAGCTACCTACTGAAGTATTTATGGACAAAACATTATCTGATCTAGAATCTGTATCAAAAAAATATGTTGGAGAAAGTGGGTAGAGGTATAAATGAAATAAGATTGAGAATTGAGTTGACAGTAAAAGCTGAGTGAAGGGTACATGAGGATTGATTATGCTATTTCCCCTATTTGTGTCTATGTTTGAAATTTTCCAGTAACAAAATATTTTAAGAAGAGAGAGGTGTCACAACTATTTTTTTAGACATCCATTTTGGTGAAAAGAGTGGAGTGTGGTTTAGGGATGGAGGAAGGGGACAGCCTAGAACTTGAAAGTACGATTTGGGAGTGGGCAAGGTCTAGCTAGCTGAGGCAGGAAGGAAGACCCGGGGCAAAGGATAGTATAGGAAAGTGAAAGGGGAAGAACAGAAAAGGGAAATGGGCTTACTGCTTCCCCACATACTCTTCCTTCCCCTTTTCTTCGCTTACTCATTCCTTACCCTTCACCTCTCTGGATGAAAAATCATCTCAGTACTTAACAATAAAGATTCCAGGCACCAAATTATGAATTCCAATTCAGTCAGCATGCCCTGGAAGTCCACATTTTCAATATGGGCCCTAGAAGGATTAAATATATGAGCCTCCCTTGAGCTCAGTACCTGGCCCA